ATAAAAGGAGGACGGATGAGATGACTTGTGGAACAGGTAGATGACGGTGAAAGTGAAATGGTGTGTGACAGACGACTGGTTGTATACAGAAGTAAAGGAGATAAGTTGATTAAATAGACATTATATTTTTACTTCAAGCAGAGTGTTGTTAATTCATAGTGTTGTTAAGTCCTGCCAGTTATGATGTGTATACAACTCACGTTAGGGAAAACAAAGGCGGCTGTACATAGTGCTGACCAAACAATCCTTTCATCTGTCGAGGTCCCTGTAACAGATGAACTCTACTCCATCTGCCCTCTTTATCTTGGGCACTACCGGGAAAAGCTTATGATGAATAAAGTGAAAACGATTGTAAAATGTACTTCTTTTTTTAGAAGGTACACAACTCTCAATAAAGACGTAACCAAACAATCAGAGTTTTAAATTCAATAGCTGACGGCAATAGCAGCGCTGTGCCCTGCTTGACAAGTTTTTAACGTTGTATCAAGGCTAGTAGACAAGGGGAAAGTTACGGTGTGTAAACATACAGGTATTGAAAATTTAACCAGGTACAGCCTACTTCATCCCTCCCCACCTCACCATCACTCGCCCCGATTTTAATAATGTATTGTATGTACGTTTACACCACATCACATGAGTACGCACTGTCAATTGTGTTAGTAATGTTTAGATACTGTTTGGTTCGATGTTGTGTATCAGGTAAAATGAAACAAAATAGCAACTAACACACTGAGTCATTGCGTGGCTAAATAATATTTAGTTGTTACTCATGGTTGACTGATGTTACTGTATTGTAAGACTAGTTGTTTTATTGTATGTTGCTTTGGTTAAATGATAATTTAAATTTGATTAGAATTCTAACATCGGCTTATTGTTTTAAATTTGCTTTAATTAACTCAGTTGTCTTTTACGTTCCCGGATGTCTAACCGTATCTATTAAAATTGCATAGTAAATATATCATAAAAGTATATAAACTCATATATATAAACATTGCAACTTGTAGTCTGTGTGGTTTTTGAAGTTGCGTTAGCTTCGGATATGTTGTAATATATTGAGATGCAAATGCTAGGCTATAATATGTTAGCTGTTTTAAGCAGTAACATAATCGAGTTTTAAGTTAAATAAAACTTTCAAGCAGAGCTTAAAGGTAATTTGTGACACTAATTTTTTTCTAATCTTAGGTTCTGGTCACGGGACATAATGGCACATGTCAAATGCCTTAGAAATATATTTTTATAAAATTTTGACCAAATGAGTTTCACCTAGTTTCGCTTTGGTGTTGAATTAATTGAGTAACTTGTCGAGTAAAATTTGGCCAGTTTGTGATTATGTCTTTCACACAATTCATTTAATTGTAAACGTTTCAGGGTAACGGTTGCGTTTCGTTTGTTTCAATCAAAAACAGTAATCGCACCAATAGATCAAAGCGATAGATCAGCGATAACAAAATACATTTTAAAATTTAAAATTCTGAATACCGATTAGTTATGTGTATAAGTGAACGTTCTGGACATATTAATTAACAAGTAATGTCAACATTGTGTAAGCTAGAACATGTGTTATGCAATTGGGGGAGGGGGTGGGAGGGAGCATTTGAAATTTTTGGAGGTGGGGGGAGGACAAAATTTTCCAGGGTTGGGGTGTGGGCGGGCACTGGTAAATATATATATTCTATATAAATTCGTTCGGTAATGGGAGGGCGGTGGAAATCCCTGAAAGAAACTCTGGTGTTAAGTCATGAATGCTAGGACAGGCGGAATCGTTTAACTTTAACCTGACAGCACAGACACGCAATTCCTTCTATCCCACCCCTCCCCCCCCCCCCCCCTGCATATCATGATCATTTCAATATTGTCTAGATATTATTTTACAATGAAAGCAACATAGTTCTTTTGCGTCGGTGGTAAACAGCACAGATGTAGGGTGACATTTTCGCGCGAATCAATTATAGGAAAAAATAATGTTGAATTTTACGCGACTGTTGATAATCTAAGAGAAGTGGAAAATAGAGAAATACGCGACCAGGGCGAAAAGCGTTATAATTGTTAAACGGGTGTTTTATCAAAATATTCAAAAACCATGTTGTAATGTGAATATTAAGCGGTAGAAGGCATAGATTAATTATTTTAAAATAGGTGAACATAGTATTATGTTCTACGTTTAAATATTAAAATACTCATGTTAGGCTTAGTGCTATAGGTAGTTAAAGTAAAAAGTAGAAATGGAGTTTAGGTTCGTCCATACATTACGTCACACATTGTTATATGTGACGAGTGTTATATGATCGAACGTTTAATCAATTGTTTTCTGACAACTTCAAACATAATCTTTCTAATAAATCACTATATGATTTTTTGTCTACATCTACAGCTTCATTCATTCAACCGCGAATAACACATCCGTGTAGATGGGGTCAAGTACACTGTTTCCGTACAGGGCATACGTGAATGCATATCAGCTATTCCATCTAGTAATTACATTAGTTGCTAGCAAACCCTACATGGAGCTAAGGACATACACGTTAACAAATTTGTAGTTTACAGTCCGATGTAAAGTCTGATGAACCCTTTAAGCCTATCATATAATGATGTAACAATATTATAAACTGGTCGTTGGTTGACTAGCGAGGAGGGGATGAAGGGGATGGACTTGGTACATTCTTCAAACATGAGGCATTGTTTCAGCTTAGTATAAAGCGTACCAAACAGTGTTTAATAGTGTTCCTATGACAATCAACAGTGCATTTCTTGGCAAAGTTTCAATTATTATCCTAAATTTGTTGCATAATTTTAAAACAACAAATAAATATTATATGCAAATAAAATAAACAAACGAAGACAGGCGATTGTTTTATTTATTTAGAAACAAGATGGCTACCTAGAAGACGTGGTTAGTCGCCACCTATCGTTATTTGTTTTGGTTTACTGTACTGCAAGATGATTGGTCAAGCGTATCAATGAATCTCTTCCCATTTATTATTTTTACTCGCATGCCCTTACACGGAGTTTAACTCAAATTTTACTTTTTAGAAAACAACGTTTATCCCACTTATACTTAAACAAAAAACAAAGTCATTACATCAGCGTATACATGAGTGTTTAGCCGATAGATGTGTAACTAGCTTACTTACTTATGCGCATTCCATAAACTGTGTTTCTGGTTTTAAAATACACGTCTCATCTGAACCGTGAAGGGCTTAAGTGTCATATTTCGAAGCCAATGTGCAGTGAAGGAGGCTTTTAATCTGTTGCAGCTGAAGAATAGACAAAGACAGCTGAACTGGTCTCGGTATCTTAACGATATCAAATAGCAACGCACTGCAGGTATCTGATTCAGTAATTATAAACTGGTGTGTAAGAGATAATAAACGTAAAAATGTAAGCAGATATTATGCTTTTTATCTTTAATTAACTTTTGTAAGTCTAAACAAATTTTGATACCCTTGTTATGCAAAATAAGTGCTTTTGTCGTTCATATTTTTTTATAATGCAAAATAATAATAATTTAACATGTTTCTACTGTGTTTTTAATTAGCTATACACTCATTGAGTTTATATTTTTTTAGTAAAAAACTCGTTAATTGAATAAACCAATGCGGCCATGTTCAGTAAATCCTATTGGATATTCATTCTTTGGATCCACGATGTATTACAAGGTCGACCCCGTCCCCAACTCGCAATACAACACCTAATTAAGGGTGTATGATAACTAAGTGAAATTAAAAAAACAGTGCACCACTACCCTCACGAAATCATACAAAATAATTCTGACATTAAATAATTTAACATCTTTTATCATTTGAGCGTTAGCAAACATTTTTAGAATGTCTTTTACCAAATATGCGAGCAGATATAAGCTTTGACGACATAAAAAAAATAATTAAGGCAATACAATATACACGTCAGTCTTGTATTCGTATTAAGAAAATCCGACGCATGCTAGGACCGCATTCTTACATTTTAAAAAACGAAGACAGAGTTGCTATACCGATGACGGAAGGAAAACAAGTTCATAAAAAGTCTAGTGACAATTTAAGCGCAATTTCCTTATGTTATCTAAAAATAGCTCGGTCGTAGCGTAAAGCACACACGGGGACAAAACACAAGACGTATAATGCTGGAGTGCGTTCAAGCTAGGAGAACGATCGTTTTGTATGTGTTTATGTCATTTTTAAAAAAAATTTGTGACCGAACGAAAGGAATATTTTTGAAAACTTTTTTCGGCAATATTGTTCTAAATTATGGCAGGAATCAATTGGTAAATGTTTCAAGTCGCTAAGTGGTCTGGTTGCCGAGATATGGGCCAAAAACTGCATTTTTTCGAGGTTTTTTGGCTTTTCCGGGAAATCCAGGAAGGAATTCCGGGAATTTTTTTGGCCCACAATCATCGTTGGAACTTGCTTAACATATTTGCTTTAAAACTAGTCCTCGATATTGCTTCGTTGAGGAGGAGATACGACTTAAAGCTGTGCACATCCATCCAGAAATGACGAGTTAATAATCGCAATTCCTGTAAGGAAATTGCGCTAAAAAACACGTACTCTTCTAATTAAATGACACATTAAATAACTACAAATTTCTTGCTCTTCTGTGCTGAATAGTTACTGCATATTTTCGTTATAGCTATGACTTTAAAAGATTGAGCCTAAATTAGCACGATATAATTTAGTATGTATGATAACAAAAGGACTTGCTTCATCAATTAAAAAAATTTGTCATACTAAGTCCAGTCTCTCTTAATTTTAAATATTTTTACGGAATCAGTTTACAATTCAGTAAATTCCTGCTTAGCAAACTATATTATCATACATTTTGCAGTTCCACGCTCTACCACCAATCACCACTACATGTAAAATATATATTTGTTATTCATTAACTACTACAAGATACAATTGATTTTCGTTAGACACTTTGTGATACATAAACATTTTAAACGTTCAACCATCAAAATATGTTAAACGTGATAATACTTTTTTCTGCAGTAACATTTCAAGTTTTAAAATATTTAACGACTGTCTTAGCAATGACGTCATCAACCAGAAACCAAGGGTTTGCTTTCGGCTCTAAAATAACAGACAAATCAAGCGCCTTATTTAAGGCTGTTACAGAGAACAATATTCAGTTAGTAAAGTATCTCTTGGAAAGTGGCACGGATCTCAATATTAAGAATTCTAAAGGATTAACTCCCCTGATGACTGCCGCCAATTCTGGCAACACTGAAATTATTCAATGTTTACTTGCACACGGCGCCGATGTTAACATGGCAGATGGAAATGACATGTCAGCGTTTATGGTTGCCGCGTCTAGAGGTGACGTTAAAAACATGAACATTCTTTTTAACAGCTGGGCATCCGTCAAACAGAAAACAAAAGAAGGGAAAAACGCTTTAATCTTATCTTCAACTGCTGGCCATGTTACCGCTGTAAAATACCTGCTTGATACAAAACTGATTGATGTTAATAGTGTTGACAATTTCGGTCTCACTGCACTGATGTACGCCGCACAAACAGACGAAGTTGATGTCGTACGTTTACTTATAGAACACGGAGCAGACGTTAACAAGCAGACAAATCGTCAAAATACTGCCTTACATTTTGCCGCGTTGTTTGGAAAAGTTAATGTCGTAGACGTTCTAATACACTCAGGCGCTGATTTAAATGTAAAGCAATTTGAAGGCTATACTGCTATTCAACTTGCAGCACAAGAAGGCCATAGATGGACTGTAAAGAAATTACTGGACAACAACGCAATGCTAAACATGGAAGATTGGCACTCACAGCAGATTCTTCAGTCCAGCTTAAAGCGCCTGCGTATTGGCATGTATTTCTTGTTGCTCAAGCAAACGACACGACAAGCCATCATGTATCACGTTATTACATTATTTATCTCCTTTGTGTTCTTTTCCTTAACTATTATTGTCTTAAGATGGTGCGATATGTAATTCTTAAAGATAGAATTCATTGTTGATGCAAATATAAGTAATCCATTAGCATTAGCTGTTTGAAACATTACTGAGGTATGTATCATCATGTATCATATACTCCCAGCTCTTTCTAGCTTTTTATTATTTTAATTGTATTATTTGCTGATATCAATTTTCAACAATGAGTATACATTGTTACATTAAATTTATGCTTACATTTTTTAACATTATTATATTTAATTGGTATATTCAATACAATCGCCATTTTATTAAAAATGCACTCTGGACATAAGAACCTCAGTTTTGTATTAAAAGATTCAATTGCTTAAAATCTGAGTACACATTTGATCCAACATATCTATTTACCAACTTACTGCTATTTAGGTTTAAATTCCATGTTGATATATTAAAGATATTTCGGGGTTTTTGTACTGTGACATGCATACTGAAAATAGATTATTGAGTTGTTTTAGCACTTGCTTTTTAAACCAGTGCTTTTAATACTATTTTAATTTAAGTCTATACTGGTTTCTTAATTCTTAATATTGTGGGATGTGGTAATTCGTAATACTGTAGATAGAAAAAACTATTAAAAACAAAAATCTAGTCGGAAACAGTTTATTTATACTTGGAAGCAACCTTTATTTTAAAATATATTAAAAATCGTGATTACGCAATTTTTAAAAAGAAGTGCATAGTAATTTTGACAAAGAATTTATAAATATGTATTAATTACCGCTCATGGTTCCAAACAGTACAACATGTGAGGCTAGTAAGTACCAAAGCGCAGCGGCGTAGTGAGGTCGGGTGTCACATGTTGCGGTACTTAATGGTGTCACCCCCCAGAGGCGTAGCGACCTTTCCCGGGGACAAACTTTCAATTTCCGATTTGCACCACCCCCTCAAACTTTTGATTTGCACCCCCCCCCCTCCTCAAACTTTCGATTTGCACCCCCCACCTGTCCTCAAACTTTCGATTTGCACCTCGTAAAACACTATTTAACACTCGAATTAATCACTTAATTAAATGGAATTATCCTTTTCCTCTATATATTTTGCTATTTTTTGCCTTTGTGTCACCCCCCCCTCCCTATATGGTGTCACCCGGTGCGATCCGCACCCCCTGTCCCCCTACCCTCGCTACGCCTCTGCCAAAGCGTACAAATATAATATGCTTAACACTACATCTGTTGATTTGTATACAGCTATGGGGCATTGTAGAACCTTAATGGTCGCAAAATGTAGATGTCAATTTTTTTATAACCTCCACTCGCTATGTCAAACTATTTTCATCAAACTATTATTGGCATGTGACATGGTACACTATTTTGTCATCTATCATACATTTTGCTAAACCACTGAAGAGAGCATGCTGGTAAATGTGTATCGCAACACCTGGGGAAATTGTATCGAAACAAATCCAAAACTATAGCACACATGCATGTTTACTGATATAAAATTTAGGGTTTTAAAGACACACGGCATCTCTAAATTTATTTTTAAAAAGTGTGCTTGTCAATTTATCTAGTAAAAAATATCGAATGTTTACATGAATTTTATTTGTAGTGTTTATTAATAAATAAAACTTTCTATATTTAATTTAACAGTCTGTCATATCAATGCGCTTTGTAAATATACAAATATAATAGCAAAAAAAACATTATTCTTTTTTGAAGTAGCAACAATAAATATTACAATTATAATATGTGTGTTAAGCTTTTATAAGTCTTGTTTTGTTTACTTCAATGTTTAAAATTAAAGCCCCTACCAAATATATTACTTGATAGTGTAGTTTATAATCCTCCTGTTGCCATGTATCTTATTGTTGCATCTTCTGTGACCACTCCGTTACCATCAATCCATTTTGAGATTCCAACATCTGTTATCTCGATATTCTGATTGTATTCAAGTAAAATGTTAGAGCCAGGATAGACATATTAAACAACTTTAAAATCCTCCGATATCAACTCGTTGAGGTATGTTTATCAGGGCTACGTTTGTGTGTAAACATTATTTTATCACATCATTCTTTGAACCTTAGCTACTAAAGTCAGATCAACAATTTAATATATTTTGCTGTATGTACTGAAGACCGTCCAAAATTTGAACAGTAAAGCATCGAGTAGTTGCTTCTTCCAACCATAAAAAAAAATATTGGACATCCGATTCCAGAGTACCCTAAAGACTTGTGGTCATATAAAGAATATAAAATACCCATGACATCTCTATCTCTATACTTCTAAAACTCAAGTTTGTTTAGTGTGCTATGCTTATTCACATACAGTACTACACCTTTCCAAATACAGACTACTACATTTTAATACAGAGTTACGGTAAGCTAAACTGTGGTAAAGTTCACACCCATAATATCCTAGTCGGTATACTCGAGCCCCACTGCTACCAGGACAGGTACAATTTGTGTACGTGTACCATGTCAACATTTTCCCCTGCACCTCCTGACTATGTACCTTTCTGTCCACCCAGTGACCTACAGAGACCTGCTTAGAACAGCCATGAGGATGTGACACTATAATGGTCAGCTTGTCCACATCTCTACGGCTCTCGTATTTGGCACTTACTTTCTTATCCAAGACATTAAACCGCTTCATCATATTCTCCAGTTTATCACCTAAAACTAAGTCATGTGTCACATAATACATATAGCAAAAGTTTTTTTTAGTATTTGACCCAACTATCTCCCATCCAGAAATGTTTTCCCCTGGACTTTTATCATCATCAAACCATAGTCTACAGCTGGACTGTTTCACCTCACTTGAATCAAATATCACATGTCTGGATGTTTGCACATAAACCACCCACCACTCTTTGCTGGGTGTGTCCGAAAGTTTACATTCAGAGCATTGACATTTAATGTTCATTTCAACTGTTTTCTTGTCCACCCTCTTCACCCACCCAGTCCCTGTTCTCAGCAAGTCCTGTCCCCTGGTGTTGTAGCAAGGATATAGAATTTTAGTGCCCTCTACAAACTTTGGTCTGTCTGGACTGGTGAACTTAACGGCAATCATGACCGTAAGGTCAGCCAAGGCTTTTGTGAGGTCAATTAGGTCATCATCACGGTAATCCGATGAAAAATGTTCGGTAGTAAAATTCTTTACGGGTATAAACATTTTATGGCCAGGATTTTTCTTGCAGTTTACAAAATGTTTGCGTAGTCCTATCTTGGTTTGACCTTTACTACATTCTTGCACTTCATGTCTACCTGTACAGGTAAACAAAATAATGCATTTACTGTAAGTATTTCAATATTTTAAATTATAAAATAATAAAACCTTCTACAGTCTTTCACAATATCTCAACGATTTACACAATTCAATCTGCCAGCAGTAAAAAAAAAGGCATAAAATTGTATAATGTTTAAAAAAATGGACTACATAACAACACATTATTTGAACATGCTAAAAGATGTCACTTTTTACTTGGACCAGTTGTGTTTGCTATCTTCTACAATAAAAAATAGAACTAATGTTACCTGTAAGATACTTTTGTAAGTCTTCACTGACCAAACCCATGTTGACATCCTTATGATCGAAGGCACTTCCTAAGAAAAAAAAACAAAAACTACATTAAAAAGTAAGAAGATTAAATACGTTAGGATGTTTACCATGTGTATATACACACTGACCAGCTTTACCAACCACAAAACATAGATCTCTAATTGTCAGAGACAGAAAAAATACCATAAAAAACCAAGATTTCGAACAGCATGAAGCAGCCATTAGATATTGGTAGAGTAATTTACATAATTTTCAAACAGAAATTACCTTTGTCTATCAAGAAATGTAGTTTTAAAATTATGCAATCAAGCTGCATGCAATAATATTCGGATAATAAAAACGTATTTATATAATTACAAAAACATTGTGCATGTTGAACATTCAAATATATCATGTCCAACATGTATTATTAAACATCATATTTAGGGACACACAATAAACTAAAAATATCTAACGCATTATGTTTTTTCTATTTTTATTATTATTTGTTTTTGTTAAATATGTCAAATTTTAGATTAGGCTCTAATATCATAATATCAAATGTAATATAAAAGATACCTTGTTATTTAAAGCAAAAAAAAAGTATTGTTTTATAACATTGGCTAACACAGCTATCCAAGAGCTTAACATAATAATTACGATCAGGATAAAACACTCAAAATTTGAGACAATCGAGAGAATAAGCTATTATATTTATGGTCCTATGTTTATAAATGTGTCTGGCTAACTTAAACGGTCTGCAAGATATAAGTATCTTAAACACCAGAAATAGAGTAAAGTTTTTCTTTCGAATAAAAAAGGACACTCAAAAATATAAAGTGATTAAAGAATAAGATTGTATACGTATATATGAAACTTTGTCCATCTAATTGAAACAGTAGTTAAATTGTAGTGTTAATACGGAAATAGAGTAAGTGCCACTTCTAGTAGCCGGGAGTATAATAAGTACTACTTCCTGTGTTCGGAAATAGTTCGAAAGTTAATAAGAATCTACAAATTCTATGTAATACTTATGTGTGCAAATTCGTACACATAACTGAAACGGTAATTAAGTTATCATGTTTACAGATAGACACACTAACTGACAGACAGACGTACAGACAATATTTTAAAAATAGGTTTCTTCGACTCAGTGAGGTGTAAAAAAAATCGAGATTTGTGTTAATCTCGATTTCAATTTTTTTCACAATTTCACTACATCATCTTTAGCCTACTTGTACTTGAGAAAGTAAAAAGCAACTTGCTTATTTATGTTTTTTTTATAGATTTTTCTTTCTTTGCTAATTTTGATTATTTTTTTGGCAAAAAAAATGCAATGTGCTAAGATTTTTGCTATAGAAATCAATCGTCCTATTTAATTTGTGAATAGTTTTTTAATATTTTCTGATTAGAAAATATCTCAATCGTATCTTATTAAAAGTAGAAATATTGTTGGAACCAAATGAAATCATTTTCCATAAAGCTATAGAATAAAGCTTATTTCAAATTATGTTCTAAACTCTAAACATTTGTCAATTTTTGTTGACAGATGATAGATGTTAATATGATATAAATATACAAGATCACACGATAAAGTGTTTTACCTGTTTGTTTTTCTGATTCTTCCAATGGTCTGCTTTTGATACTTAAAGATTCTTTATGTTCATCTAGTTCTTTTTTTAGAAGATCTGTATATGTAAATTGTTAGCATTTTTACAGAATATAATGCTAATCTAAAACATGAACAAATGCTAAACATTCAAATGTAATGGAAAGAATTCATTTTACTTATCGCAGTTGGTAAATTATTTAGTTAATATCTAAATATATTTCACTCTTACAAACGCAAACGAAATAAAATATTAATACTTTTTTCTTGTTCCAACGCCTGATTAGAAATTCGAAGTTCGCAGCACTCTTTATCTTGAACTAGTACTTTGTTTTTTAGTAACACTGAAAATAAAACGCGTTAAATTGCTTTTTCTGTTTTACTACTTAATTACAATGTGTTGAAAAGAAAACTACTAAGCAATCCGAGATTTAATTAATTCATGAGATTGGTAAATAAAGATATATAACCTGGATGTCTATAATAAACATTGTATAATACAATATTTAACAGATTTCAATGTTATGGGATCTGATTAGCTATGTAAATAAATGAACCAATGCATACAAAAATACACCTATTACCAAACATACACACATGCATACGCACACGCTTACATGCGCAAAAACACACAACTACACATTGTCATCATCTCTCAACTACCAACGGGGCATGTGACAGCAACTAAACGTCTCTGCTATATTTTAGAGTCACACTGTTAAATAGATAAATCGATAGTAGTCATCAAACAAAAATGCTTTAATTTGGTTAACTCTCAAACACAAGTTGTAGTAAGTCCAAAAATATGTCACTTATTTTAATTGTTAACTAACCTTATTTTGGCGAATTGATACATATTCCAATATTGGTTCTTAAACAAGAAAAGCACTGTTATTTACACATGACTAAACCAGTTATTCTTTTGTTAATAAATTATTACAAGAAAAAGTATTTTACCATTTTGTTTCTCTGATTCTTCCAATGATCTGCTTTTGATAATTAAAGATTCTTTATGCACATCTAGTTTATATTGTAGATGATCTGTTGAATTAAGATCTTAGCTCTTTACAGAATATAACGCTTAGGCTAAACATGAACAAATAGAATACAATTTAAAATAATGGGAATCATTCATTTTACTGAACACAGTGTTTTATTTAATTGGTATCTAAATATGTTTTACTCTTACAAATACAATCGATATAAAATATACACACTTATTTCTCGAACCAAGGCATCACGAGAAATACGAAGTTGGAAATGTTCTTTATCTTGATCTTGTAATTTATTTTTAAGCATCACTGAAAAAATAATTGTTTATTTTGATTTACTTTATAATTAAAATGTGTTGAAAAGGAAGCTACTGAGCAATCTGAGATTTAATTCACTTGTGAGAGTAATAAATGAAGATATAATCCACAGGTCTATATCACATATTGTATAATACAATACTATTATGTATTATGCTAAGTATGTAAGCGTGGGGTAGAAGTTTGGCATGAGTGCATTATTACATGACAGCTTGTTATTTAAACGTTTTTTACGCTTTTTTTCAGTACTTTTAAATTTTTTAATACATTAGATTTGCATGACTTAACTGTATTGTGTTCAAGAAGATGAAAAATGCGCGCATAATAGCGTGGTAAATAGTACTTTGTACAGGTAATTGTAATTAATTCGCACAAAAAATAAATTGGGTTCCGATGAATCAAATTTAATGTTAGATTGCAAAGTCATAGAATCTTCGCCTAAGTGCTAAGTTTAACAGAAATACGTCAGTTAGAAAAAATCGAAATTTACATTATAAAGCGTTGACCGTAGAAAATGAATGATTGTTTTTAAATATATAACGATGAACTATAATTTAAACAACAATAAATGAAAGCAAGGAATGCTGTGTAATGTATTGAATATCTTAAATTTATAAATCGACTCACTCTTTTCATTATAGTTATTTAAAAAGTGGTCTTCATTATAACATTGAAGAGAATAATTTATTTTCTACTTTTTAGTGCATTGTAATATAATAGCTAACTATAAAATGTTTTTAAAAAAAAATAATTTAAACGAATTTTACTTTCAGGCCGACAGTATTTTCGTTAATTTCGGCGTCGTCCATAGTGACTACAATAATAAATACACAATTTGTTTCATATTCACGAAAGAAGGTTGAAGATTTTGAAGAAATGGTTCTATTATTAATTTTACAATAGTAAAAATGTGTTGTTGTTTTTTTTTTCAATTTTTACAACATAGTGACCGAAATATATTAAAAACCATAAATCTAAAACTAAAATTCAGAAATGTAATTTTCTGTGTTATAAAAGTTGCAATTTTGAAGATATTTTCTAGCGTTTAAGGCCATAGTAATATTTATTTTAGTAATTCTTTAACTTCCAAGTTTTACTTTCGCGCAGGAACTCCGTAATCCATCTGCCGAAAACCCCACTTTGTAGTAATTTTTTCTCACAATAATTGGCCAATATAATATTAAAATAAAATTATTTTTTACACATAGCTTAGGTTATGGCATTTACGAGGGCAAAGAAACAGACAGAGTCACATTATTAAATAGATAAGTCGATAGTAGTCATAAAAATTCTGCTTTAATTTGGTTAACTCTCAAACACAAGTTGTAGTAGGTCCAAAAATATGTCACTTATTTTAATTGTTAACTCACCTAATTTGGCGAATTGATACATCTTCAAAGATTTGTTCTTAAACAAAAAAAGCACTGTTATTTACACATGACTAAACCAGTTATTCTTTTGTTAATAAATTATTACAAGAAAAAGTGGTTTACCTGTTTGTTTCTCTGATTCTTCCAATGATCTGCTTTTGATACTTAAAGATTCTTTGTGTACATTTAGTTCATATTTCAAATGATCTGTAGAAATAAGATTTTAGCACTTGTACAGAATATAACACTTAGGCTAAAACATGAACAAATGGAAAACAAAAATATCTTAGTTTTATTTTTAATTTAGTTAATTGGTATCTAAATATGTTTTACTCTTACAAATCTAATCGATATTAAATATACACACTTATTTCTCGAACCAAGGCATCACCAGAATTCCGAAGTTGAGAATGTTCTTTATCTTGAATTAGTTGTTTATTTTTAAGCAACTCTGAAAAAGAAAACCGCTAAATGATTATTATGTGTTACTGGTTAATTAAACTGTTTTGATTACAGAACTACTGATCAATCTAAGGTTTAATTAACTTATGCGATTGTTTAATGAAGATATACAGGTCTATAACAAATATTGTAGTATAATATACGTATATATATATATTACGCGAATTATCTTGGAAAAAGTTGGTATAGCGTGTTTTAACTTTGACAGTTTATAATTAAACAGTTAAGCCTAAAATTAGCTTTTACATTTGGTTTCTACCCCTTTTGGCGTCCACTATTGTACTAATCGTAGTTTTACTAACATTATGAGTAGCTGTATTTAACACAGCTTTAATATACTGAATTAAATAAACCGGTAGTGATCTCCCCTAAACTTTCTCGAATATTCTTATATAAAACAACAGGGGATGGTAACTGGGGATATAGTTATGATTTTTAATCCATTTTAAATACTGAAACTTTTAAAAATAGAATAGAATCTCAGTAAAAAACAATTGCGCACCAAGCGAACGCCTAATAAAGGTGTGTATAATAGTGCGCAATAGTATTAGTACTTAATAAATTTACATTAGTTTTTTGAGAAATCGGAAGTAGCGTAAATTACTACTTCCGGTCAACGGAAATTACTCAAAATTTAACAGAAGGTAGAGAATTAGATCTTTTACTTACATGTGAAATTTCATTTATCTATCTGAAATAGTACTCAAGTTATAGGCTTTTGAAAAATTCAAAGTAGAAAAAGTACCACTTCCGGTTGTCGGAAATCGCTCAAAAGTTGAAACGGATCTACGATTTTGATATAATACTTATATATGTAATTTCATCAACCTAGCTGTAACGGTACTCAAGTGATCGTGTTTACACACGGACACACAGACACACAGACACACAGACATACGGACAAGATTGCAAAATTATGTTTTTCCGTATCAGTGAGGTGTAAAACGTCGAGATTTGTAAAAATCTCTATTTTTTTTTTGCACGATTACAATACTTTCTCTATACTACGTATATACGAGAAAGTAAAAACGTAATAACTAAAATGATTTAAAATTGCAGATTTTTGTTTTTAAGTGTGAAAAAAACGTAAAAATCTCGACTTTTTGTCAAAATAGTTCCTTTGGTAAAGACCTCTTAAGTAAAATTTTCTCTCCATATTTCAAAAAGGTTTTATACTAAAAGGAACTCCACAAAGTAAACAACTACTGCCTTGCTGATTGTTCTTGGATATATAAAAGCTATAGAAGCAAATCCAGTGAGAAAACCAGGCAGAAGTCAGGGGAAACGGTTCAAATGGAGCATAGCATTGTGATCTATTTAGGTCTTCTTTTTATTTATTGTTAATTATATTTTAAATGGCCTTGAGCTGTCTATTGTTCAAACTAAAGAAATGTTCCATCACACTCATGTGATAATATTCACCACTGAGCTCGTGTGGCTCGTGCTTTTGCTCCTTCCCCCGCAATGGTCCTTGACATTGAGGTCGACATCCTATAATTTCAGAGTGGTATATAAAGCGGGAATATTCCACACACGAGGCAGCCCACTAGACACCCAGGAGAGAGAGTCACGTACGACGCCATATTATATCTTCTAGCTTAAGCAGCAATTATCTCTTAGTTCCAGTGTATTCAGTATTTTCTGTGTCTTATTTTAATAACGTGTAGGTTGTGTTGATTACTTAGGTACCTTATCCAGTGTTAGTAGTTTCAGTGTGTTATTCCTAAAATCGTAAGTTGGGTCTTTCATTATTGAATATTTCTATTTTTTGCATAGTATTGGTATATTATTATTTCGACTTGTTTACTTATTAGAAGGTTATAGATTGATTAAAAGTGTCACTAGTTGCAGACGGTCTTCGTGTGTGTTTTTACCCTAGACATAAGCTTCGAGTCCACGGAGAGTTTTTGTTTTCTGGTGGTCTTTTTAGTTTCGTAAGTCATCAGTCTAAGGCCATCCAAAACGTTTCCGGGTATTGCGTACTCTTTACCCGTGGTAAAGGTACGTAAAAGCATGTTGGAACATAATACAATTATATACGAAGAAAATGAACTAGCGTTCGATCCAAATACTTTCTTAAAAGATTGTTTTATAAATAATATATTTTACCTGAGTAATCTTTTAATTCGTCCATTAACTTGCATTGGTTGCTGACTATTTCTTGATATTCTTTTAGTTTTAGATTTAGGTGATCTGTACATATATATATATATATATATATATATATATATATATATATATATATATATATATATATATATATATATATATAAAATATATATATATATATATATATATATATATATATATATATATATATATATATATATATCTTCCCAATCATTTGTATGCAACAGGAATTGTTTACGTTTCATACAAGCAAAAACTAAGACTGTAATTTGATCGTGTGCTAATCAGATGGTAACAGTCAGATTTATCATGGAACATGATCATGCAGATTCGCAGTCCGAGGCATTTAATGTTACAAACGATAGTAAAACAATTATACCTCCTATACCTCTACTATTTTTGGTATTTTCGAATTGGGTAACGAAATATGCACATGCAGATTCAGAATAATAAGCTCAATATGATTTGCTAAAAAAAATTCTTGCAATTTGTTAAGATGCATTCTCACTTTTGCACAGAATCAAGACACATGCTTACATGCGCACAAACACACAACTACACATTATCATCATCTCTCAACTACCAAGGGTGCATGTGACAGCAAGTAAACGTCTTAACTATATTTTAGAGTCACACTTTTAAATAGATAAATCGATAGTAGTCATCAAACAAAAATATTTTAATTTAGTTAACTCTCAAACACAAGTTGTAGTAAGTCCAAAAATGTGTCACTTATTTTAATTGTTAAATCACCTAATTTGGCGAACTGACACATATTCAAAGATTTGTTCTTTAATAAGAAAAGCACTGTTCCTTACAAATGACTAAACCAGTTATTCTTTTGTTAATAAATTATTACAAGAAAAAGTGGTTTACCTGTTTGTTTCTCTGATTCTTCCAATGATCTGCCTTTGATACTTAAAGATTCTTTATGTACATCTAGTTCATATTTCAGATGATCTGTATAAATAAGATCTTTGCACTTTACAGAATATAACGCTTAGGCTAAAACATGAACAAATGGAAAACAAGTAAATATAATGGCAATCATTCTTTTTACTGAACACAGTATTTTATTTAAATTATTGGCATCTAAAAATGTTTTACTCTTACAAATCCAGTCGATATAAAATATACACACTTATTTCTCGAACCAAGGCAAGACGAGAAATCCGAAGTTGTAAATTTTCTTTATCTCGATCTTGTAATTTACTTTTAAGTATCACTGAAACAAAAATTGTTTATTTTGATTTACTGCATAATTAAAATGTATTGAAAAGGAAGCTACTGAGCAATCTGAGAATTAATTCAAATGAAGATATAATCTACAGGTATATATCACATATTGTATAATACAACACTATTATGTATTATGCTAAGTATGTAAGCGTGGGGTAGAAGTTTGGTATGAGTGCATTATTACATGACAGCTTTTTATTTAAACGTTTTTTTACCCTTTTTTCAGTACTTTTAAATTTTTTTATAAAATAGATTTGCATGAATTAACCTTATTGTGTACAAAAAGAAGATGAGAAATACGCGAGCTCAATGAGGCTGAGTGGATAGGACAGAGCAGGTGGAAAACAGATGGCGGGAAACCGTGGATAACTTTTACAGAGGCATTTTCTTTTTGAAGGATCCAAAGCGCATTATGACCATTAAACTTTCAGACATTAAATATAATAATTCTTATTTCTTAATATGTGGTAATTTTTGCCATACAAATGAAAAGTTTTTATAATTTCTAAAATATTTTTATGTATAATACTTATGTAATTAATTGCCACAGCCTACATTTTTCTGGAACCGATCCTTCATAAGAAATCCCAAGTTCACAAAGTGTCTTTTTTTTCATCTGTGAGATGTCTGGAAAAACATCAAACGTGTTTTGTTTCAATGATTAATGTTTACAAAAAATAATTGGTAATTGAGATATCTGATTAAGTTATAATAAACTGAGGCGATTCTAAATGTTGTAAGTATCTTTTGAAAATACACATTATTCTGTGTTAGGTTTATAAACAATCATTCGAATTTTATTGTGAAAAGAGTGTTCTACATTTTAATTTTTGAACCATACGTTGATGTAAGTCGTAAAGAATGTATGTATGTGAGTGTAGAGAGAGAGAAAAAATAAGGGGAGTGTTATAATTATGTGTAGTCAGTATAATCAAAACATTTTGTGACGGTATATTTTACAGACTTTGTACAAGCGATTGAGAGCATGATGACTTTGATACAGCATGAACTCCAGCGTTGGTGCCAATTCGATCGCAGCTACGCTTATTGTCCACAATGTTCAGTGTTTGTTCGAGACATTTTTCTCCGGTGTGGGGAGGGGAGAGCACTTGAAATTTTCGGGAGGCAGACACTGTAAAAGTAAATATTTTCTATATAAATTCTCATTCGTTTGGTTGGCGAAACACATCGAAAAGTTAGGGCTACCTGGAAGAAACTCTGACAATGTTGATAACATCATTTTAACTAGAATTCTTCAAACAGTTATAGCCGACTATGTAACATATTACCATATTACCACGCTTTTACTGGCAAGTGTCTAATCGGGCAAAAGCCTTTGGGCGAAAGGCATTCGAGCAAGCTTCCTATTATATATATATATATATATATATATATATATATATATATGAATTTGAAATGGCGTTTTCCCGTATGGGGGACATAATAAAACAAATACTTACATTTATAATAAAGCGCACATGCAACCACAATGAGCACTGCCAATGCCATTCCTGCGTTCTTTCTATTGTAGATTGATACTGTATATATATATATATATATATATATATATATATATATATATATATATATATATATATATATATATATATATATATATATGTGTGTGTGTGTGTGTGTGTGTGTGTATGTTCATGTGTGTGTGTGCTTAAGGTAACAAAGATGAAAAGCGTTAAAGTTGTGTTTCTTCATACACATATTTTCCAATTTTTTAATTTTAAATAGGCATGCATTCTTAAAAAAATTACTATTTTTTTCAGAGAGTAGCAAAAAAAAGTATTACATTAATGACATTAATCTATGACATTTACCTTTATTAGGTAAATTGTAATATACAGAAGCCGTATTTGATCTCCATCCTGCACCATTTTCAGCTACACACCTAAGAGCTGTTAAAGCATATATTGATAATATTATTTAAAAAATATATTGATAATATTAACAAGAGGGACTGTATTCCCAATTCTAGGTAATATATATATATATATATATATATATATATATATATATATATATATATATATATATATATATATATATATATATATATATATATATATATTAGGTTTTATGAATGATAAAAAAATTGTGTAGTCATCTTAGTATTAATAATACTAATATCCAGATCTGGATATATATACATATATATTGTAGTGATATTCATACTTATATGCATGGGTAATAATTGACAATAATTGATTTTAAGTGACTATATCATCACAATATGTTCCGCCTGTCATGCTGTCTATAAATGGGGCCGGTATCAGGCTTCATTTTGTATGATTAAACGAATGAAGTGATCAATCAGTGAACCAGTCAATCAATCAATTAATTAATTAATCACTCATTGATTAAAACAATAGATCATCTAGTAAATGAATCAAGGAATCAGAGTTTCTTCCAGGCATCTCTTCGGGGGGGCAAAGCCCCCCCGAAAATTTTTTACCGCCCCCCCGAACGAAATGAAATTTATATAATTTATATAGAAAATATATACTTTTAACAGTGTCCGCCCCCCCGAAGAAAGTTTACCGCCCCCCCCGAAGATTTCAAGTGCCCCCCCGGAGAAAAAAGTCTGGAAGAAACACTGCAAGGAATAACATAATCAGTCTACGGACGAATGAATTAATTGATTAAAACATACTCCAAAATAAATAGTTGTATACAAATATTTGTATGTATATATATATATATATATATATATATATATATATATATATATATATATATATATATATATATATTTCTTAAAAACAGAAATTGTTTTTAACAATCCTCATCGTACCTGTAGAACCACTTATGACTGACGAAAATTGTAAGTTATTGCCACTGGTTTTGTATTGTTCCACATCATTAATGTACATGTAGATCCACGTCTCAATTTCACTGACATCGGTTCTCTCACACATACAATGTACTGAAATGTTGTGTCTTTCATCATAGTCACAGTTTTTTAGTGCTATGCTGGGAAAATCTGTAACAAACACAATGGCCGTCAGCTAGAGTTTCCTCTTGATGGAAAGCTCCTAAAACTCCACAGCTGCTAAAACTTATGTCTTTAAAGCATGAACTACTAACGTATGTTTAACCGTACGAGAGCAAACAGCATTGTCGTTTCGTAAAGCAACAACCTGTTTTTTTTTTTATTTTACCAATTGTTTACGCAATTACCAACAATATAAATAAAAACATTCATGTTGTATACTTCACTCGTCGATAATGAGGTTTTAAATATTGACATTAAAAGTTTTTAGATCTTTTGGGAAAAAAAATGTGTCTTTTCTCTTAAAAAGATCTATGAAATGAGTGTTCCATTAAGACATCAGGTAAAAGAATAAATTTTGTCCCTGTTCTATCGTTCCCTTCTTTAAAAATATTGTATTGCAGAACTAAAGAACTCCATAAATGTATACGATAATATAAGTAAAATAAACCGGGAGTGATCTCCCCTAAACTCTCTAGAATATTCTAATATAACACTACGTGGGATGTCAACTCGGAATATAGAGATGATTTTTGTTTACTTAAACTTTTAAAAATAGAATAAAATCTAGTAGAAAAAAAAATTGCGCACCAAGCGAGCACCAAAACCAAATGTGCGTAATAGTGCGCAATATTATTAGTACTTTATAAATTTACATGCGTTTTTTGAGAAATCGGAAATAGCGTAAATTAGTACTTCCGGTCAACGGAAATTACTCAAAATTTGACAGAAGGTAGACAATTAGATCTTTTACTTACATGTGAAATTTCATTTATCTATCTGAATTAGTACTCAAGTTATAGGCTTTTGAAAAATTCAAAGTAGAAAAATTACCACTTCCGTTTATCGGAAATCGCTCAAAAGTTGATACGGATCTACGATTTTGATAAAATACTTATATATTAAATTTCATCAACCTAGCTGTAACGGTACTCAAGTTATCGTGTTTACACACAGACACACAGACACACACACACACAGACATACGGACAAGATTGCAAAATTATGTTTTTCCGTATCAGTGAGGTGTAAAACGTCGAGATTTGTAAAAATCTCGATTTTTTTTTGCACGATTACAATACTTTCTCTATACTACGTATATTCGAGAAAGTAAAAATATGTAAGAAATATCAATAACTAGGATAAAAAATATTAACGGATATTATTTTTAATCAATGATATCGATATCCAGACTTGCATAGTTGATTTGTAAGAAAAGTTCTGTAAAACGTTTACCTAAAGTTATTGAAACTTCAGCTGAATAACTGTATACTTGACCAGATGTTAAATACAGTATTGCAAAGAGTTTGTGTTGGCCTATACCAAGGTCCTCTAGGGCTATCAGCTGTTGACACGTTATCGTACAGTTGGTTGTTGTACAGTCGCTCTCTGGTGTAGTCAGCTCGCTGTCCTAAACACACATTGAATAAAAAAAGAGTTTGCCATCAGTTTTACCAACTTAGAGGCACAAAACAGCGACAGGAATTCAAACTTATAATTTCCCTTGCTCTTTGATTACACACAAAAATAAAGAAAACATTTGGATAAAAGAAAAATTCCTTGAAAATGTATAATCAACTGTTTTCAAATACCCTTAAAATGTAATTAATAGTGACTTGTAATTATTATTTTGAATGATGGCTAATGTAAACAAAACAACTATGGCACAAAAAACATTGAACTTTATTAACGCGTTTCATGCGCATTTTTCGAGTTACACTGGTTTTTAATTTAACATAGGGCGTTGAAAATTTATTTCTAGCTTTGAAATTCAATAGGGCTGGTAAGTAGCTCACCAACCACTTCTATGGCTCATGCAGGTTTTATTGAGCCGTAGAACTGGTTGGTGACCTACTTACCAGCTCTATAGTTTAACGGGGTTTTTTTTTTAGCTCAAAGCAAACTGAAAGAAAAATAAATACAAACAGTTTGGTTATAGGGTTTTCGACGGTTGAATATATTGGAATATATAAGATTAATTGATTTACTGAATTCTTTCTATCTAAAATATTAATAAAACTGCATACACATCGGTTAGGGTAACGGTGACGTTAACAATAGGATAAAACAACGAATAGAGATAGAGTGTATATTAAGGATAAGCAAGTGGATTCATATAGGCATGGTTATGGATTTGGAAACGACTATTGGCAGAGAAATGGATAGGTATTGTTATAATAAGTATTGTGTAGTGGGGTAGTTACACAGGGTTAGTGGCGTAGCCAGGATCGTCTCATGGGGGGGGGGGTTCAATTTTTTTCCAGCAGTGTATAACCAAGGTGACAAACTTTCGATTTGCACGCCCCCCCCCCCCCTCAAACTTTCTATTTGCACCCTCCTCAAACTTTCGATTTATGCCGATGGGTCTATGGGGGGTTATGAACCCCCCCCCCCCCAACCGCCCCTGCCTACGCCACTGCACAGGGTGGTAATTAAGAGGACGTAATTGATCTGGTGGGCTACTTACCATGTTGGGTCACAATTAGGACACAAATTAATGTTGTATCTTAGATATATGCTTATTTTAAGTTAGGGTTTGTATATTATTGAAAATTCTGTACAAATTTTTTAAAATTTAATAAATACTGTTGGCTTTTATTTTTTTGTATCCTGTATGTGTACATAATTCTGTTACACTTTCTTAAAATTTTATTAGTTCATTTGCAATTGTTTGCTAGGACACAAATTAATGTTGTATCTTAGATATATGCTTATTTTAAGTTAGGGTTTGTATATTATTGAAAATTCTGTACAAATTTTTTAAAATTTAATAAATACTGTTGGCTTTTATTTTTTTGTATCCTGTATGTGTACATATTCTGTTACACTTTCTTAAAATTTTATTAGTTCATTTGCAATTGTTTGCTATTGCGCTGTAAACAGCAATAATCTCTTCCGATATTTTATTCTTGTTTATTTTTTTTGTATCGTATGGGGTTCTACTCACTAATTGTTTAACTCATATGATTTTTATAAAATGTGTGTATCATTTAAAAAATGAATATTGAAGGTGTTGTAAAACAATTTTAATTTTTCTAACTTATACTAATAATTGTCTGCATGTCCATCAAACATATGTTTTTAAAATGTATCAACTTTCACAAAAATTCTAATTGTGTCTGAAAACTATTTACATTTAATCTTTAATATATTAATAATCTAAAATATCAAGTTGTTATAATTGAACACTTCAGATCAAGTTTAAAAAGATTTTTTTAACCATATAATATTTTTTAAAAAAATAAGCAATATTATTCTCATGTACCTCTTTGAGTTTAATAACAAATTTTGGCTTTCTATCTTTACCATCTGTCATTCGTTTGCAAGTAATTTGTATGTCTTGTGCCATAAGTTTTTTTGAGCAATCCAAGCTATGCGAGTCTGAAGAAAACATCAGTGTATAGGCTTTTAAATATGTACTCAAATGTACTCATATATATATATATATATATATATATATATATATATATATATATATATATATATATATATATATATATATATATAGTGAAATATGTTCAGCACGAAAAAGTAAGACATAACTTATCGGTTAAGGATAATTAATAGGTATTTTCCCATATGTGTAAACCATTCAAACATTATACAAAAATACTAAAAATACCAAATTGCGTTACACTTCCAATAGAAAATGCTCGTTCTGTTGGTATACAAGAAAACATAAGTAAAATAGTTATAACACACCCGAATGAGAACCACTAAATAATTTCAACTTCAATGAAGAATTAGAAATGAATATTATAATAGACAATATAGAAAAGAAGTTGAAGATGTGTTGGTAAAAATTACAAATGAAAATAATGCATCGATTTCCAAAAACAAAACATTATATTTCTATTTTTTGTTTTAAATAAAATAAATTATCATCGTGTTTTTCTGTAGTTATTAGTATTTGTATTCGTATAATGTATTGATTAATAAAAACATGTCGTGCTGTGAAGGTCATAGTTTCAAAAACGACAAGTCCCGATTTCGATTTTCCGGGCAGATGATGCTCAAGAACTGGGGACAGCAAACCATCTAGGAGAGAAAACTTTAAAATCAACTATTACCTTGTATGTTATTCTAGGATGAACAAAGGCTGAAACTGGAGTCATGTTGACATGTAATATTTTGTGTTGGGGGAAATGACATCCAACGTTGAAATTAAAAAAAAGAGAAGAAAACACAAATGGAACACCTCTAACCGGTAAAATAATTGATCAAATAATTATTTAATAATCTTGATCTTGATAAACAGATATCTACTTATTATTTAACGCTAGTAATTGGCTCCTAGGTGTAAAAGACATTAGCAAAGAACAGCTCACTTACGTCAAATGTTCAACTATCGAATGCTAGTGCCTTATCATATTATTTACTATTTTGTTATTAAATACAGTAGTCTATTTTAATTGTAAGGAAAACGAATAATCTTTCGTTTTCATCGGAATAAAGTTAAATAGGTTTTTACCTTGCAATTGATATATAAGCTTACCTGAAGTTATATTTAAAGTCAAGATAGTCGTAATTAAAAGGAAAATAGTCTTCATACTGCTTTTTGATGTGATTTTCCTCTTTTCCTAAACGAATTGAAATACATAATTACAAAATATTGAATACACAATACTTAATTTAATAGGTTTGAAATAATTGTGAAAAATTACCATTACTTCTGGATCAATACGAACCAATGACAAATTAACTTTAGCATGATATGTTGGGAAATTATAATTTTCCATAATTTTCCCAAAAACGTTTGTGTACACATGATAAACATGCCCTACTAAACAACATGTAACTTGTATAGGGCTTACAATATAAGTAAAAAATAAGATGTATTTTAAAATATAAATGTGCTTGAAGACTAGAAGGGATGTAGTGTTATAAGTTCAGGTTTTAACTGAAATTATATATAGTGATGAATATAAAATTACTTAAGGTAAGATGATTAATTAAGTATAACATAAGATAAAATAAACATTTCATGAAATAATGTTTTTATAGGCATACATGAGGTTTATTTTTTTTATTTTAAAATAAAAAATCATGCTACATAACATACAAAGAAATGGAAAATAATTTGAATAAAATTAACCATTATTAACGGCAATATTTGTTTTTCTTTTTATCTATAATTAATTTTAAATTACGTTTCTTACCTGAGTAGTCCTTTGTTACTCAAATGGTTCAAATGGTTCAACTTGAAAGATTTTACCTGTTTTATTCATAGCTCATGTGTTACATGTTGCAATGAATTTTAGATTGCAAAAACAACGTCCGTTTTTTTGTAGGGCGAGGTCGATAGACCAGCACGAACCAGTTGCAGCCAGTATCAGGTTTCGTGACCTACATGCGCTGGTTATATATGGCTAACAGTTATCGATGGCAGGGTATATATAATACTGAAACGTTTTATTTGATAAACAGGAATAATAGCAAGTAAGAAATTTTATTTATATATATATATATATATATATATATATATATATATATATATATATATATATATGCATGTATGTATATGATATATAACATAAATCATACATTTAGTCTTAAGAGTCTATCGCTTTACCTTGATATCCGTTTAAAAAAGATTACGTTTCCAATTTTAACTGCCCCATCTCTTAAGAGCGATTATTGGCAACTATTGTCGCTCTATAATTCAACTTTTCTTTATTTTTTTAATCTCGATGTAAGTTTAACATGTGAGCGTTCAAAAAAGTCTCAAAATAGGAAAATATATCTATTGTACTCAAAAGCAATTAATTTGAATATTGCTTTCATTAAGCAAAGTTTCACATAGATTGTTTCTGCTAATTCTTGGACGATTTCCGGTATACTAAAGTGGTAATTTCAAATTCTATAGATTTCGTTGCATTTTTAAATGGCCTCCTATATCCGGAAATAGTAGGGTTATTTCAGTTTTATTAAAGATCCTATACGATGGCTGCTATCGACCTGTGTGTAATTCCCGGGAGACTAAGTTTACCGGGAACTGCCGGGAATTTTGCTGCAACATCTTGCCGCCTCTATGTGTTTTCTCGAAAATCAATCTGTTACCGTTATTGAATAAGCTGAATAAATAAATTGAATAAATTCCTTTTGAGGTGACATCAAAACGTTTACTGTTATATAAGATTATACAAGAAAGCCTAGGGGACCTCACTCCCGCTCTATATATTTTAGTAGATCGCTTCTTTTTTACACGTATTGATTTTCCACACTAGTGCTCATGTAAGCTAATATCAATACCTTGCTTTTATGTTCACCCGTTTTCAAACAATATGTCACTTACTTAATGATTTTCCTATCGTAAAATATATCTTAACTGGATGACCTAGAATGAATGATGTAGAGTACGGGTGAAGGGAGTCATTTTAATTTTGGGTAAAGAGCTTTAAAAGGGCTCGGTTGGGCATAGTGGGATATCGGTTTTGAGTGGCGCAGTGTAGCGGTCAGATTGAATCCAAGGTAAATGTGTACGTCTAGTAAAAATATTTAATACAATAAACATAAAAACACTGTGACTTTCTATGGTTCTAATAAAACGTTTTACATTTTTAATTTCATTTTTAGCCAACCTTATTTGTTATTTAATATGATAACAAGAAATAATACCCGCGTTTAACTACACAATAATGCATCCGCCGAACGTTATCATTTGAACTCGAGTTATTAAAATTTCACAAATTTCAGCACTAGATTTTTTGGTTCTTACTTGTCGAGTCGTGGGTTTACCCACACTACCACCCAGACGTGCAAAGATGTGCTGTATAAAAACACTGAGTGTACGTCAATCACCCTTCGTAATGGTGAAATGAAATACTCTTCGGCGACCTCCACGTTGTCCAATGCGTTGCCGTGCGAATTTTGGATCTACCGGTTACCCCTTGTTTGATTTTAGCACACCGAATTCCTTCTGTAAGGCTCTCTATAGAACACTTGTGATCGGCATAGTTCTCATGGGGGAGCCAAAGTCGCACATTTTCACGCGAACCCTGGGCGTCAGAGGGCGTACCTTTTGCATTTCGACAACTAGTACCCTGACGCTATAAACAGGACACCCAGTTAATGGATCTAGCATAAGGTAAAGGGACGACCAATGGAATACTTCCAACGGAGCAACACCCCACCGATATAAAAAAAATAAATAAATCATGCTGTCAATCATAGCTGGTATGTAGACCTACTCAACTTCACAAAGTTTCATTACGATCAAATAAATAATATAGTAATGTGTAAAAGACATTTTCATTTTCCTATAGCCTATATAGATTTAAAATTCTAAACTGAAAAACAAACCGTCTTACGAATTATTAATAAGTAAATGTAGCACACTTTTAATCAAAATTGTTCAGCATTATGTCTAGCCGCCTTTACTTCCCTATCGTGCAATAGGTACTCATCAGAGCTGAGTGGAATCAGGAGCGTTCTACGCGAATTCGAACTCAAGATTTTTGGGTAGCGTTCTAGAGTTCACTATAATATCTATTAGATACCTTTTGCTAATAATTTAAATTGTAGAGTATTACTAGAATACCCGTCATCCGTTGGATAACTGTGGGTTTCGGGGGTCATCCATCAAAAAACATCACGTCTGTCACTCAGAGGCATAGCGACCCTTCCCGGCGCCCGGGGACAAAGTTTTCGATTTGAACCACCCCCCCCCCCCCCGCAAGATTTCGATTTGACCCCCCCCCCTCAAACTTTTGATGTGCACACCCCCACCCCCACTCAAACTTTCGATTTGAACCCCCCTCAACCTTTCAATTTATTTTTCCAAACCATTTTGGCGCCCCAACATATATCCCCCCCGCCCCCCCTTCCCCCATCCACCTCCCCCCGCCTCCCCTTCCCCCCCCCGCCTCCCCCCCGCCTCCCCTCCCCTACCGTCTTTATGCAACTTGATTTACGCGGATAGATTCTAGATCTAGATCTAAGTCTAGTAGTAGTAACTTTCAAATTAAATTTAATCTTAAATTAGCCAAACAAAGATTTATATAAAATAATTAAGGCCTGAAATAGATTCTAGATGTATTAAGGCCTGAAATAGATTCTAGATGTAGAATTTACATTAAGTCTAGATCTAGAATTTACATTGAGTCTAGTGACCTAGATCTAGGCTAGATCTAGATCTAGGCTAGATTCATAACTTTGCTTTGACAGCTGATCTTTAGATCTAGAGAAATTTATTGTAAAACTAAATGAAAAAAGACAGTTGAAAATTGATATAAGTGTTGGAACGTAATAAATACAGCAAACGGACGTATTGTTAAAGTTATGACCGACAGAAAATTAGATTTAGAACGCGTTAAACTTTTGAATGGGAACACAATTTTCTTCGATAGACGCCGCCATTTTATTGTACTAAAGAGTAAACAAAAAACTGTGACGTCACGGTCCCGCCGAGTGTAGTGGTCGTTCTAAACTTTTAAAAATAATGGGTTACTCTGCGTATGAATAAATCAATAAATTAATTAACGTCTTTAAATAAATGTGTGATTAACAGTCTGTCTTAAAACAAACATTTTTCTCTACCTACATACTATTTTACAGCTTTCCACGATGTGTGCAACCATGCGAGATAGTCAATCAGGCAAACAAACAAACAAACAAAAAAACAAATAAATATTCAAACATGTAAACAAACTTGACTTTTAGTAGTATTAGATAGATAGATGATATATTCAAAGAAAACCATTTATTTTCTGCTTTTTACTTTCTCGTATAAACGAGTAAGGCCGATAGAGGAAGTATTGTAATCGTGCACAAAAATAACATGAAATTTTGACAGTTTTCAACGTTTTACTCCTCAGTCCTTCATCACATCCGGAGTATAGAGGACTTATTTTAATCGGGCAAAAAGGATCAATACAGATTTATCAAAATTAAGAGGTTTTATGCGTAATCCAGTCTGAAAAACTGGGCTTTGCAATTCTGTCCGTTTTCTGTGTGCTAATCTGTGTGTGTGTAAACACGATAACTTGAGTACCGTTACAGCTAGGTTGATGAAATTTTATATATAAGTATTTTATTAAAATCGTAGATCCGTTTCAACTTTTGAGCGATTTCCGATAACCGGAAGTGGTATTTTTTCTACTTTGAATTTTTCAAAAGCCTATAACATGAGTACTATTTCAGATAGATAAATGAAATTTCACATGTAAGTCAAAGATCTAATTCTCTACCTTCTGTTAAATTTTGAGTCATTTCCGTTGAACAAAAGTAGTAATTTACGCTACTTCCGAATTCTCAAAAAACGCATGTAAATTTTTAAAGTACTAATAATATTGCGCACTATTATGCACTTTTTATTTGGCGTTCACTTGGTGTGCAATTAATTTGTCTACGAGATTTTATTCTATTTTTAAAACTTTAAGTATTTAAAATGGATTAAAAATCATGTCTATATCCCGAGTTCCCATCCCCTGTTGTTTTACATAAGAATATTCGAGAAAGTTTAGGGGAGATCACTCCCGGTTTATTTATTACATTATTAGATAAAAGCTTGATATTAAAACGTTGTTTTTTTTTGCAATTGTTTTTTTTTTCAATACTTTAAAATGTGTATTTACTATAGAGTTGCAAAACTAAAAACTATGAACCTGACAATGCGCGTATAATTTTAAGGAAAGAGTAGTACAAGACAGCCTTCTAATTTCAGGAAAAAAAATGTATTTAATTTAAAAAAAATTATCAGGCATAGTTATTTCAATTATAATTAAAGAAAAATATCATTTATCAATAGGTTAGTTGTGAGAAATATAGTTTAAGAAAAATAATATACTCTATATAAATGATCTATAAGTTTGAACTTATAAAACAAATGACCTTTCATAATATAGAATAAAGCGGGAGTAATCTCCCCTAAACTTTCTCGAATATTCTTATATAACACTACGGGGGATGGAAGTCGGGATGTAGACAATTTTAAATCCATTTTAAATACTTAAACTTTTAAAAATAGAATAGAATCTCGTTAAAAAAATAATTGCACACCAAGTGAACGCTAGATAAAATGTGCATAATAGTGCGGGATATTAATAGTACTTTATAAATTCATGTGCGTTTTTTGGAGACATCGGAAATAGCGTAAATTACTACTTCCGGTCAACGGAAATTACTTTACGTTTGACAGAAGGCAGAGAATTAGATCTTTAATTTGCACGTGAAAATTCAATTTTTTATCTGAAACAGTATTCTATAATAGGGCTTTGAAAAATTGAAAGTAGAAAAAGTTCCACTTCCTGTTACCGGAAATCGCTGAAAAGTTGAAACAGAACTAAAAATTAGATATAATACTTATATTTGAAACTTCATCAACATAGCTGTAACGGTACTCAAGTTATCGTGTTTACAGACACATATACACACACAGATATACGGACAGGATTATAAAGCTAAGTTTTTCCGACTTGATAACACATAGAACACTGAAATTTTTGCCCGATTAAAAGAAGTCCCCTAAACTTAGTATTTGATGAAGTACTGAGGTATAAAGCGATGAAAACTGTCAAAATTACATTTGATTTTTGTGCACGATTACATTACTTCCTCTATACTCAGTATACGGAAAAGTAAAAATATGAGAACTATGTCTATACATTATAGAAGAAAAAAAGTTGAAGCGACATATACTGAGAATATTCTGGCAAAATACCATCTCAAGTTAGGAGTCAAAAAGAGGAACACTCATTTAGCCATTAGCAGTAGTTATAAGACACGTAAATGGAGATGGTTGGGCCAGGTGCTCAGTATCAGAGCAGACGCTTTGGTTAGGTCTGCTTACAGATGAACAAGAAAAAACAAGTACGGCCACAATAAACATTTAGAAGATCAATAGAGAAAGAGTTGAAGTAGAGAGACCTAAAGAGTTTCTTCTATGCCCCCCCCCCGAACAAAATGAAATTTATATAAAAGAAATATACTTTTAACAGTGTCCTCCCCCCCCCCCCCCCGAAGAAAGTCTACCGCCCCCCCACCCCCCCCCCCCACCGGAAAATTTCAAGTGCCCCCCCCCCCGCCCGGAGAAAATAGTCTGGAAGAAACACTGCCTAAAACTAAAGCTGAGACAGGACGAAATGGTGTTGACTTGTTGTGACATGTACTCATGGTAGTTGCGAGATGATGATAATGTGTACTTGTGCGCATGTATGTTAATCAGATTTAACATTGAAATCTGTTAAACGTGTCGGTCATGTTTTAATATAATTTGAATTGTTTTCTAGGTTTATGGCCAAAATGTTTGTGGCGTTGTATGTTCTGGCTGTATGGCAGACTACAAGTAAGTAACTCAGGTTATAATTTCTTTACTTTGCACTGACTACTTTACATAAATTCATACAGCATCACTGTTTTGTATATATGTTAGTGTATTTTAATTAGCTCCAGGTTCAATCAGCCTGTTAAAGAGTAGGCCACAAGAATTTCGTTTTTAGTTAAACATGTTCGGTAGCTGGTATTCAGTGTATTAATAGGTCGGACATTGAACGTCATTGGGTGTGCACATGTTTGTTTGGGTAGGGGAGTAGCTGTAAACCCATATATATATATATATATATATATATATATATATATATATATATATATATATATATATATATTATATATATATTATACATATTATATATATATATATATATATATATATTTATGTATATATATGTATACATATATATATATATATATATATATATATATATATATATATATATATATATATATATATATATATATATATATATACCTACATATATTTTTTTTTAATTTTGTCACCCCTCCCTATTTTTTCTAATAGCTTACATTTGTGCACAAGTTATATTAATCCGCCTATTAATTTTAGCTGAGTCAAGCTACGATTAAATTATTAGATTAGTGTTACCCTACCTCAGTTGTTGATTGACTTATCATTTAATGAAAATTCTATAAATAGTCTGTTACTAATAAAGCTGCATGTACCATTGTTTTCTCTATAAGTAGCAGGTCTACGCCCAGGTGTCACCAATTCCCCGTGTCGGAATCTCCGATTTGCAGTGTGAAGTGACTTTTTAACTCAAATTAATTATTAATTGAACTGGCAAAAACTAATATCTTCTTTACATTTTTCAATTTTTGTCTTGGTGTCACCCCCTAAATGGTGTCACTCGGTGCGGTCCTCACCCCTGCCACGCCTCTCCACGCGTCTGCATCGATATGCAATTATGCATGTCTCTGTTCAATAATGTTCAATAATTTTTATTCGGCCAAAAACTTGACTTTCATGATAATAGAGATTTAGAAAATCATCTATTTCTTTTCCTTTCCTCACATTGTCGAGAGCTGGCGGAGAACATGGGTAAAAAACATTAATTCTTTTATCCTTACATGTTAAGTTTTTTTTTTGTTTTTTTGATTTGTAATACAGATGCAAATATCTGCAATCCAGCAAAAGAAGATTTGGATTACCAAATAACGTCGCAAGATTTTCCGTGTTCGAAAAATACAGGAGTGATATGGAAGCTGGGAGAAAATACAATACAATGTGGATATACCACAAACGTTTGTACAAATATGTCCCCGACGAACTTCGGAGCAAACTTCAATGTTACAGGCAAAGTAACATGCAAGACCAGTTTTTTTTATACCAAACGTTACCGGTTTGGATATGGAAGGAGGTCTTTCTTTAACGATGAAAACGGATAAAAGCGATTTAAATGAAATCATTCTGCTAACCTGCCTTTTCACAGTAATTGGTATGTCTCTTGGCCACTCTTTTAAAATTGTGTGAAGTATTATCACAGCAGTTTTTTTTTTATCATTTAATATTATTTGTTGGTAAATGTATTTGTGTACGTCTATGTTTATTTTTGCTCGAATCTATATGCATGATAATAAACACGTTTAATGGTTCACGTACATGTGTGTATAGCAACAAATGGTCACATAGACTGATACTACCAGAAAGTCTATACTTTCAGAAAAACTCCGTGATATCAACTGCACCCATGTATTCAGAGACGACGGCCTGCATATAACGTGCAGTACCGTTAGACGTTACAGGGCAATAAATCGATTAATGGGTTTAAAACTGATTAGTAAGGTATACATTAGTATTTTATTACACACGTAAATGCCTTTATTGGATTGTTTAGATGTATGCAAACATACTGCATGTTATAATTCATTGTGCAAATATTTTAATAGCTGTAAAGTATCAGTTAATTTTGCTTTTATTATTATTGAAATAATTTATTAAAAAAATACATTTAGACTACTTTTAAATCAGATAAGTTAGCCGCTTGCGAGAAGTTAGAAATTCCTAAATGTGAACATTTCATATCCCAAGAAATACTTGGAATAGGCAACAAATCAATAAAATCCATCATTTATCCCTATATTACCGACCACGAAATAGTTGAAATTTTTGGTGACAGCAGAGTACTGGACACTATCAAAGTTGGTAAGTTCAAGATGTTATGTTGCTGTGATAAGTATTTGAATATTAAAATTTTGCTACAATGATTTTAGACTATCAAAGGTTCTTATTTTGAAAGTCAGTTGAAGTAAATAAACATACAAAACAAACGTGGCTGAAAAATGTTTTTAATCTGCTGGCAATAGACATCGCGCCCTTATTTCTCGTTTCTAGATTATCCTAAAATTGGATTTGAGGAAGGCTGTGATGACGGTCAAACAAACAAAAATTGCACTGTAAGGCGACTTGACAACAGCGGTATAAAAACTACCATCAGATGTTTTGTAAATGGGAAATTGGTGAACGAAACAGATGCGAGGAGCTTAACTATTTCCTTAAACGCAGGTTAGAGCTTTAACTTAATAATATAATGTATTTTTCTTAGCCTAGAGTAAAAACTATTTTACAAATTATACATTTACAAAGATTGAACACGTTCCATTATTAATTATCACATATTTTTTAAAAAAGGGAAGGTTTTACATAAAAATCATCTGCGTTCGATATAAAAACAATAATATTTTTAAAGCTTTAGTTATTTAAATGTGTCTTGTAAAAGAACGTAAGAGAAAAATTCGAAAACAAAAATTATTGTAATATTATGTTTTTAAAGTAGTGAATAATTTATGTAGAAAAAAAAATATTATTAAGCATGTTATTCTAAACTTATCTAAACAAAACTTTTTTTAAAATATCAGAGTACTTAAAAAAACAATTATTTTATAAATATTTATAATAATACACCACTATTTAAAGAAATGTAATTATCGCCTCTTTAATCACTGTATAATCCAAACGGTTTTATGTATGATGTGTTTTTTCTTGCTGACATTGCCACGAAAACCGTAACTCTGATCGCTGCATTAATCATAACCGTCTAATATATATAAAATAACAATCTAAAAGGTACATACAATATAGCATCAGATTATTTTAAAAAAATATAACCCTTGTTTTGTTGAAGTTCATTTATTTTATTCATACACTTAAATCGAATATAAACATCTCTTGAAATAACATGTAAAACAATATAGTGAATATACGAGATCATAGAAATGCTTCCTTATAAAAGATAAAAAGTTAACATTCATTAAATTATTATCATTTATAACCTACGAAGGACACTACCTTTGTTAGGATACTCCTCCAATTTTTTTTTTGCTTCTATTGAACATACTACGTTGCGCTGTGGGACACACCCTTGAAATGTGCCCAGAATCATCGCAGTATTGACTTTTGAGGTCTTCTGACCCTCGATGTACAATTTTAGTACGCCAGTTGCATGTTGTACTGGTCCCGTTTGGCCAATTGCGTTGTATCTGTCCTGGCTTTCTAAAGCTATAACAGGCACCTGTATCTATATCCATACTGCACTCATTGCAAATGTGACCTTGTTCATAGCATTTTTGTGTCGATAAGATATTTTCTTATATATATATATATATATATATATATATATATATATATATATATATATATATATATATATATATATATATAATTCTCTTCTGGGAGACGCTAGAAAACAAGCTGCAAGCGCGCCTTACAGTCCCCTCTCTTTCTCTCTATCACTATCACTACCACCCCCACCCCACCCCCACTTGGTCTGGTGAGCTGTAGTCAAACTAAATGTTTACAAATCGTAGAGCCGGGTTTAGTGACGGCT